TGCCTCGCGCACTTGACTCTGCCATCCATGCCCCCCCCCTCCACGGAAGACGTTGTGGATTTGTACCACGAGTCCACGGGAGACATCAACACCACCATCGCCCAGTGCCACGAGACCGTGCTGCAGGTGCTGGCGCAAGAAAACAAGTCCAAGGCCGCGGCGCCGGCGGCCGCAGAGCCACCACCTTCGTCTCCCGCACCCGCTCCCAAGCCCGTGCCCCCCCCGGCCAAGGTCGCCACCGGTGAGGAGAGCTGACAACAGAGGCGTAACAAAAGAATCGCGCCGTAGTGAAATGGTATGCTACTCACGGGGGATTTTTCTGCCACTGCGCTGCGTGTCTTGACTAGAGCGAGATGCACCACGGGGGGCATCACCGTCGTAGAGGTGCTGCTCGATTTTTCTTGTTCGTTGCTGTGCCTCTGTTGTATCTGTGCTTTTTCTGAAACATAGAGTCGATGCCGCTGCTGCTGGTTCTCCTGCTGATGTTGTTGTTGCTGCTTACGAAGACCCCCATTATCACTTCGGCCTTCCGGTCCCGGTGGACTAACTGGGCTATCGCTTTATTTCGCGTCTCGTTTTTTGACGGCGGGTTTGTGGCCACTTGCGAAGGCTGTGGTCAATATAATCGACTCTCTCTCGGTGACCCATCCCGCTTCCAGGATTGTGCGCACCCAACCTGCCCCTGACTTTATTAGTCATTTTCTTCGACCCCCCCCCTCCTTCTCCTAGGATGCACAATGATTTCGGAGTTCGACTCGAGGGGGCGAAAGGGGGAATCGCAGTCTGGTCCGCATGGCCCCCTGTCTCTTTTCTGCCCCAGAATTCCAACCGCTTCTTCCGTTTTGTTTGTCCCGTGGTAATCGGACCAGGGCTTGGCGCTGGCGGCGCGAGAGCAGGCAAAGAGGAGAAGCAGGCTGGTGTTGTGGCCGGTGCTGCCGCGGTCGTACCCACCGCCAGCCGCCTGGAGGAGCAAATGGCCGAGCTTCAGGAGGCCGAGAAGCGGAAGCAGGCAGCCAAGACTGGACGGGCCTCAAGGTGTGGGAAAGAATACCGTCGACTACGGCCGCGGTGCAACTTTTTTTTTTTTTTGTACCCACCGCCAGTTTTGAAGCGCCATCTCTCCCAAAGAAGCTGGTGTCGTCGACCAAACTCTGAACGCGGGTTTGCGGAAGGTTGTCGGCAAGATCCTTCCCCATCGCGAGAAGAGAGGAGAGTGAGTGTTGCGCACCCCACATACTTGTTGCGTTGTTGGTTTCCCTCTCGAAAGCGTGTTGGGGCGGCTTGCTTCTCTGATTGACGACGCGCTGATGCTCTCACTTGGTGGAAGGACAGGGGCTGCAGCCGTTGTACTCGCTTCCACGCCTGACAGGGTAATGAAACACATGGCGTGTATGTAGGAAGCGAGTGTTCTGAGAAGGTGGGATTAAACATTCACTGAGAGTGCTCTTGTCCCGGGGTCAGAGCGTAACTAGTACGTCCCCGCCGACGGCGGCAGCAGGTTATTTTTGTTCGTGATTTTAGAATGTATCACCAAGTACGCCCACAACTCCCCCCCATATCCCATCCCACCCCATCCCATCTCAGGCGGGCAGAGGAGGCAGCGGCGGAGCGGGAGGACAGGGAGATGCAGGAGGCCGTCGCCAGGGAGGAGGCCGCCGCACGCAGGAAGGAGGCCGCTGCCGCCGCCGCTCGGAGCAAGGCAGAGGCCGCCGCCGGAGAGGCCGCTCGGATCGCCGAGGCTAAGGCCGCCACAGAAGCCAGGTGTGGTGCGGGCGTTGGGTTCGAACATTGTGACTTGCGTGTGTTTCTTCTTGGTGAGCTGTAGCGAGAGTTTGTTGTAGTTTTTTTTTGCGGACGGGGCGACTGCGCTTCTTTTTTGTTGTGCTTGTTTTGTTCTGAGCCTCGTCGGTACTTGTAGAGAGTTTTTTTTTTTTTAAGAGTTTTTTTTTTTTATGTACTCCCGAATGTTGTTGTGGCGTTTGTTTCCTGTCGATCGGCACCTGGAATGCTGCCATGTCTTGGCAACGCTGTGGCGCGTGCTGCGCACGTTGGCTAGGCGATGGCCATGATCAGCCACGGAGCGACTAGGACGTGTCACTTGCTTTACTTCAACCACCCAATATATCGTATCATTCAAATCAGTTCTTTTCATTGTGTTCGCCTCGGAATCGACATATTTGTATCGCCAAAAATGTTTCCGTTCTCTCTTGCCGATACGTGACGGGCTGATGAGGGATGGATGGGCCCACGAAGTCGGAACAGTTGTAATAGCGGTGCACCAGCAAGAAATTAGTGACAGGTGGAGATCTTAGGTGAACAAGCTCACACCCGACCAAAGTTGTGTCGAAACGTTAAGATCCGAACTCGACCTTGTGGAAAAATCCCGAAACACGGTGAGACACCACCACCTACCTGATGAAACTGCTGCCGATACATTCCTTGTTGTGTGAGAGCAGAGCGATGGCTGCGGCCGCCGAGCTCGAAGCAAGCGAGGCTGCGAAGAGGAAAGCCAAGGAGGAGGAGGAGGAGGAGAAGGAGGAGGAGAGAAAGGCCAAGAAAGACGCGGCAGCGACAGCGGCGCCCCCCGGCTCGAAGAGACAGGAGCACATCGTTGCCCCCGTGCCGGAGAGAGGGATGTCGGGAGAACGAGTTGCGTCAGGGTTGTCGGAGGCAACGGCAGGCCCGCCGGCCATGACGGGTGGCGGCACGGGAGGAGGCGGCGGGGGGGCATCGCTCGTGGTGGACATGTCGCTGGAGGTCCGGCTCAGGAAGGCCATCGAACGCGGAGTGAGTAGGTTGGTTATGTTGCAAGAGGGGTGGGTACGTGTTTTTCTTGTTTTTGTGAAATTTCTCATTAGGGCACAGTACTGGCCAGGGGGAGGTCGAGGTGTTTTGGACAGGGGCTACAGAAGAGGAACGGGATGAAGGCCTGCGGGAGCGGAGTGAGCGCATGCAGCACCGACCAAGGAGCTAGAGAGACTCCTACAAGCATTTTCCCGCCCGTCTGTGTTGGCGTTCAACTTGCCTGCGCGCCGCATGATTTGTCGGCGTTGTTGTTTATTACGGCGTCGTTCCTTGTCCGTGTCGACAGAACCGTCGGGAGCAGAATAAGATTCTGCTGCAACAGCGTGCAATGACGTCATGTGTGGACCCGACTGCTGCTCCCAGACAGTGTAAACCAAATATCTGTGGGAAAACCGACGTCCAGGGCGAACGGGACAATAGACGACACACATTGCATCACCGGTTGTTGTTGTTGCTGGTGGTTTTCGTGGAAAATGATGAGTTGCCTTTGATTGCGTTCGACCGGCAACCGTTGTTGCCGTAGACTTTGCATAGGTGTGCTTCGAATTATTAGTGTTTTCGAAGAAGTCACGCAACCAACCCTTGATCCGTCGTCGCCTTCCTTTTGGGAAGTGCCAGGCATAACGTGATATTACCCACGAGATCCCTTCTCTGCATACGGTGACGAGAGCGATGCTTCAAGACGCCTCGCCTTCACCCCACCCTCCCCGACATGCACGATGCAACCCGAAAATCGTGGTACATTCGCACAACCATCCCTGCAACAGCAGTCAATGCCACCAAGCGGTAGTCGTGACTTCTGACGAGAAAAAACCAACGAACGCTGGCGATGACAAATGTTGATCCACAGAACGCGCTAGCGGTCCAGGCAATCCACGACGAGGCAGACCAGACGCCCGGGGCCGACATGAAGAAGATGAAGAAGAAGTGCAAGAAGTGGCTCAACAAGAAGGAGGGGGAGGTGGGTCGTTCCATTGAGCATATATATATATCTCGCCCTCCGGATGCGGGGGGATAGGGATTCGGGAATGGGTCGATCATATTTCTGGACCCAAGGGTCTCTTGTTTGCCTCCGGAGTGTGCCGCAGATGAGAGACGAAGCGTGTGACATGATGAGCCGCTTCGCCTTCTCTTCTTCTGGTCTACAGCACGTGCCGAATTCTCAGCACGTGTGTCGCTTGGTGTCGAGTGAGGGTACATGTCGCCGATGTTGCGTTGAGGGGGGAGAAAATCTAAGGGGTGTTGTCCTGGCTGCTGCGTGGTTTCAGGACAAGAAGAATGAATATGCAGAGGGGAGGGCCAAACACCAGGAAAGAATCCGTGTCCGGGTTGTCTTGGTGCACGGGCAGACAACACGCCAATCTACTCTCCGTATTTTGTTTCTTTTTTGTTGCGTGTTGCTCTCTGCGAGTATGTGTTTTTTTCCAGCTGAACGCGTTTGCTGCTTGCTCTGACTTTTGCACCATCGCGTGTCGTGTTCCTTCTTGGTGCCGTTTCTCGTCCCCAGATGAGGGAGGAACAGCAGCGACTGCTCCAGGCCAACCAGCCCCCCCCTAACCCCGCACTGGGACTTCGGCAAGCCGGACCCGGGTTCGGTGTTCCTACGCCGCCGGTGGCGGCAGCCGCGGCGGCGCAGAGGCCTACTCAGTACGAGATGTTCTGTCCGAACGTACGTGAGAAAAGGGACAGGGTGTACATGCGCACGCGTTGTTTTCGTTCGCGAGCGGGGGCTGACAAATTGCCGCCGTCAAAACCAAGAACTAGGAACAAAGTATGATATCGTATGTGCTCGAACAAAGCGGGGATGAATTGCTCGTCCATCCGCACGATTGTGTGCTAATAGCAAATTGTGTTGCAGATAGAACCGAACTGAAGAAAAATAACCAACGGCACACATTTACACAGCAGCTACACCCCCAAGGCTCGTAATCTTCTGCACAAAAAGGGGCCTCGTACAAAGGGGACACATGAGGGTAGAGTGACTTGTGCTTAACTCGCGCGGGCAATGTGTCGCGTGTGCAGACGGCACGTCAAGGAAGCCGTATCACGGATTTTTTTTTTTGTTTCAGTATCGATCGCAGCGTTAACATTGTTTAGCCTCTCACGCGGACCGACCTTTCGCGCTTTGTCCGATCCGGTCCACCTTATGTTTTTTGTGTTATGGGGGGCGAAACAAGGTCATCGCGGGGCAAGTAATCGGAAGGGGGGGCCAGACGGTGAACAGGCTGATGAAGGAGAGCAGGGCCAGGATAGTTCTCAAGCCTTACGCCGACAAGACCGGACACGACGTCGTCATCACGGGCTCGCCCCAGGCCGTCCAGGCGAGACAGCCATTTTCTTTTCTTTTTTCTTCTGAGGGATGTGTCTGGGCTTACAATCTTCTTTGTTGTGTCGGAGCTGACAACAACAACGACAGGGATGTTTTTTTTTTTTTGGTTCCGTTTCGTCGGAGTGGATGTGGTCAATAGCAGGTGAGGGAGGGTTCGGGCATGGGTCCCGATTCGTTGGTTTCTGGAGACCGTGCTCTGGCGAGAACAGTCACGGCTGCGCCGCCACTCCCGCCCGCTCGCGCGGTCGTCTCTGTGGCCGAGTCCCGCTTTCCGTTTCGGCTTGCAGCTGTAGGGATCGGGAAGGGCCGTTGTTGGAGCAGACTGCGGACCAATGTGCTTCAGTCGGCGGCGACGGCAGCAGGGGTGCAGCGCTCGATTCGAACAAGTCGAAACGCCTTGCCTTGCTGTACGTGCGTCGCCTGTTTCGCCTCGCAGGTAGCTCGGGTGTACTACTACCGTAGTAGCTCTATATGTAAACAGGGCCCTGAACACACTTATGTTGCGTCCTCCATATGTACCCGCAACCAACCCTCCCCCCGCGCATGCAACACACACGAACAAAAACGCCTTCCTGTGCTGTTGTGCAGACCGCCAGGCGGCTGGTGGAGGATTTCTACCGCTCCAAGGGCATCGAGCCCACCCATCTTCCGCCCCCTTCCTCTGCCATCGCCGCCGCCGCCGCCGCTGCCGCAGGCAGGCCCGGAGGCGTTGCCCCCCGCGCCCGCCTCCCGGACCCCATGATGCCCACCGAAGCCATGATCGGACACCTGGGGCGGGGGAGAACAATGGCGGTAGCCGGACCGGCGGCGGCGGCGGCGGCAGGGATGCGGGCGCCGAGCGGGGCGATCCCGCAAGGCGCACGGCCGGTGGCACAGCCGGTGGTGTACGGGGGGGGTCACGGCGGCGGCGGTGGTGGTGGCGTCGACGTGAGCGGCGGCGAGCTCCCGCAGCTGCTGAGGGCGGCGCGGTGCGAGCACCACCTGGAGAGGTTCCTGCGAGACCAGCTGGACGGGGAGGTGCTGCTGGAGATGGAGAGGCGGGACTTCGACAGGATGGGGGTCACCGAGGTTTGTGTGTGTGCTCTTTGAAGCAGGCACTCTAGGCGTGTCGGTGATTCGGGCTTTTGTGGTCAGTGTAGGAGTCCACGTTGTTATTGTTATCGTTGGTTTGATTGGGAGGCCAGTTTCCTTACTTTTGTGGTATTCACGACCGTATGGATGTGCTTGTGCGGCAACTCGTTTTTGTCGGCAATGCTTTCGCGGCTCCTCGCAGGTGTCTCGCCCAGCGAATTGCATGGCATCCGCGTCTAGACCACACCCAGATGTCAGCCCTCCCTATATCCACAAAGCTTATCGCTCTCCCTGCCACAGTTTGCCTCCTGCAACACCCCCCCCCCC